CCCCCCCAACTGGTAGGACTCTGATGGCTAGCTGAGCCCGAACTGCAAGGTCGAGCCTTGGCCAGGCGCTCGACCCGGACCAAAACAACGAATTTGAACACAAAAGCTGGTTCCAATGTGGCGGCACGGGTAGACCACAAGATAAAGGCCCAGAGTGACTGGACAAACAACGGGCACAGCTTTGCATCTCAACAGATGACAGAACTCATGACTACAGAAGAGCACTGAGATTGCTGGGTCAAACAAGGGACTGGGGCAAAAACGACAGAGCTGTGGCAGAGGCCTGACGGATGGTAAGGAAGCAGAAAGTAATGCACCTACGAGAAAGACAGAGCCCAGAACAGTGAAGCACTAAACAGGGGGGTAGGGGAACAGGACGTAACCAAGCCTCCTGGAATCAGGCGTTTAACTCAGGTCACAGAACCGGGTCATGGCACTGAGACAACATGACGCGGCTACCTGGGTAAATAAAGTATAGCACAGCAGTACGACTGTCTCCAACTCTCTTTGACTGGGATCGGGACTTAAGGATGACGACATTTGGAGGCCATTCTCGCGCCCCAGTACCAGCCAAGGCGAACCGACTATATCATCTCCTCCAGCGGACTGTCAACGATGCAAGCAACTCAGGCTACTGGACATCTCGACCTGCAGAATACTCTTCCTTCACAGGAAGACCCAGCGACTTGCTATTACCACATCTGCATCTCAGCTCAAACAGAGAACAGCAATAACAAAACTGAATTAGCTTCCAGGATATGGATGGGGAGGGTGGGGATAGCATAGAAAGGATTAACAATCAGTGTCATCTACCTGCCCAACTTGGGGGGGGGATAGCCAGGTACCTCAACACACCTACATTGGCATATCAGATCACACAAACAGCCACATTGTTCGGGGATGCTGGACCCCATTTCCAGCGCTTGACAGATGTTAGGAAGCAAGAATTAACAGAGAACACACGCGGGCCAGGCAGGGGCCCGGTAGGAGGCTGACTCAAATAATATAAAGGACAGGGACATACATCTACTTGAACGATGTTATGCACTGGTTTTCAGAGAGTATAGGGTTTAAAGGGTTTAAAGGGACAGACATAGCAACAAGCAAGAGGGGGGGCTGCTGAAATAGGGCTGGGCTAATAGATAAGGTGGTGCTCCAAGAAGGGAAGGGTGACACTAGCAGCTCCATGGGACAACGTAGCCCCAGGCAGAGACAAACAATCACCACAGCCCTAGGAAACAACAAACAGCAATACCCGTGTTACAAGATGTATCAATGGGACGCTGAACCCGGTTTCCAGCGGGTGCTGCTCCCCACCAATAGATGGAGCAGCCCAACAGAGAAGCCCTCAATTCTGACGGTGCTCTTACCACCGCCAGGATAGAGGGATATCGCAAGGGCTATTTTCCCAAAAAANCCGCTTCCCATTCTCGATGATGGAAAAGAACAAGAGTGAAAACAAAAAGAAAACACGACTTGGGAATACAAATCCATCTTGTTTTTCTGCCATCCGATACTCGTGGGTCAACGACCGGGCCATGTCCCGCAAAATTTATAACCCACAGGTATTTATGGGATACACTTTACCTCACTCGTGTGCTAGTGGAACCGTGCCCTTGAAGTGTCAGGAGGTTCTGCCGACCGTCGATAAAATCCAATAGCGGCATTGGTGCGTTACATGCCTCCAGACTTCGTGGAGCCTTTTCAGTTCGTGTTGTAGGTAGTGGTGGTTTAAAAAAAAAAAAAAAAAAAAAAAGGAGTAGGTAGCTCAGTGGTTAGAGCACCGGTTGGAAATGCGCATTGTGGTATGAGGTTGCAGGTTCAAAACTCCGCAGTCTTGTGCATGGACACCGGCAGGGCGTTAGAATGACGCACGGCTGGACACACACCCCCTTGCAATGGGATGACGCAGGTAAGTTATTACAGACACTGCCTGCGCACCACCCAAGGGGTAGTCCATGGTTGTTGTATGTGGGGACTGGGCGATGGTGGGTCTCCTGATGTCCTTGGTCTACGGGGTTGTCATGAGACTGCTGGGTGGCTTGCATAGTCCGGTTTACTTGAGCCCAGCAGAGCACAGTTACAGACTATTTCACAGTGTAAGTCAATAGGTTAGGTCACTTGTACAATTCACATTAGGTCCTGTGTTCTATACCAGACTCTAACTCAGGGCTGATCATCCTCTTCGTACGTGGTCAAAGGATTGAGGCTGGCATAGCAGTTCCTTAGTACGGGATGTCAGGAGTGTCAGGAGATACTGCACTTTACCGCAGGCCTGGGCCGGAACGGGCTCCAGGGACATACGAGGGAACGGAGGATTGTCTGCTCTCAGATTACCATACAACACAGGGATAGTAGATTATCCAGGGTCAATACATACAGTCCATGATTCACGATTGAGGATGGGCTATCCTCCTAGTACGTACCTTAGAGTTGAGGCTGGCATAGCAGTCCTTAGTACGGATGTCGGGGGTGTCAGGAGATACTGCACCTTACCGCGGGGCCGGAACAGGCTCCAGGGATATACGAGGGAATGGAGGAACCCCATCTCTCTACAATCAATACCATAGAACACTGTAGTAAAGACAACATAAGGATAAGAAACCCAGTTCATAACTCATGACCTAGGGTTGGCTATCCTCCTAGTACGTAGCATAGGGCTGAGGCTGGCATAGCAGTTCCTTAGTACGGGATGTTGGGGGTGTCATGGCCGGAACGGGCTCCAGGGACATACGAGGGAACGGAGGATACCCAGCTCTCTATCATCACCACACAACTAAGCTAGATGGGAGTCACTGTGCACCCTCATAAAGACCTGTAGCAGCATGTTCATACCTAGCTCCCGAAGTCCCGTGCAATCAGGCTTGCACGGCTTCTGCTTCAACCGACCCGGGGGCTGAGCAGGGGCTAGGCATCTCTGCTTAGCCCGGGTACCTGGAACCGCTGTCTGGTCAGGTCACCTCGCCAAGATGGTAATGGGTGATGGTCCTGGGTGGTTAGCACTAGGGTAGGACAGGGGAGTTGGGGGTGCGCCAGGGCAAAAAGATGAGAGGAAGGGTGGGTGGGGTCTTCAGAGGGGTTCATCTGGACAACCGAGTGGCCGAGTACTGTGGGTGACTGCCATCCGTCTAGTATGCCACCTCTACAACAACCTTGGCTTAAAAAAAAAAAAAAAAAAAAGAGTAGTGGTAGGTAGGTAGTGTGAGGTGAAATTGAGAGAAAAAATAATAATAATAATGACAAATCGAATGGGAGCAAAACAAAAGAAAAAAGAAAAAAATGGACGAAAAGGTACGATGAAAAAAAAAAAAAAAAAACCCTTGGCCTGCGTGAGACAGCCGTGCACACACACACGCACATACGCACACACGCACACGCACTTACGCACACACACACACATAGTCGCCCACAGAGACACGAACGCACGGACACATACGCATGCACACACGGCAATAACACTCCCGTCTCTTCGGAATCCGAGTTCCGCACCCGCCAAGATCTGTATCACATTTATTTAGCTGTGAATTAGACGTTTACCCTACCGACGGTATACCCTCCAAGTTCCTTCTTTTCCATGCACGACCCAGATGGAGATAGATAGACAGATATACAGATACATAGATATACAGAGAGATAGATAGATATCTGGATACATACATAGATCGAAAGGTACATATATATACACATACTTAGATAGGTAGGTAGATAGATAGATAGACAGATAGGTAGATATATAGATAGGCGAATAGATGCATAGACAGACAGATAGACACACAGAGAGAGAGAGAGAGAGAGAGAGAGAGAGAGAGAGAGAGAGAGAGAGACCTTGTTGCCACACAGTGTCGATTCGGATTGAAAGGACAGACAAAAATGCGAACGACGTGCCCTTCGCGGCGGTCATGTGCGAATATGTCAGCGTCACCATACACACACACACACACACACATACACATACACACACAAACACACACACACATTTGGTGACTCTCTCGCTGATTCATCCCCTTCCTCGCTCGGTCGGTCATGTGATCAGTCACTCATACACGCACGCTCACAGTCACAGCCGTTGGATGCGAGAACCGTGGGGATTGCCGGCGTCAGAAGGGCGAGTGTGACCATCCAGCAAAGTCTGTGAGAAGAAGGCGATCCTAGTGCAGGCCCGATCAATCGACGCATGGATTGGCCGGCGGACGCCGCCGTTGTTTTCTGTGTGCGGAATGCCGCAAATGCCTGATGTCCGACACGCATGAATGGACATTTCCTCTACAGGCATTCTTGCATGTGGATGTGGGTGAATACCCATGCATGTCACGAGGGCGGTCTGTGCGTTCCTCAACTCCTGCTGCAACTCCGTTTTCTCGACTTCCATCCGAGCTCTTTGATCGCCCACAGCGACACAGCGGTCCCGCCAACGATCGTCATCCTCATGCAAGGCCTCGATGATGATACGTTCCATGCCTTCGATTTCACGAATTGCCGCCTCCCGTTGTGCTTCAGTGGCCGTGTACGAGGAGCGGAGTGCAATCAGGTATTCCATCACTTGCCTAAGTTGCCTATGCCTCGCTGTCAACCGCTGCAGCACGTTAGTCACCCACCTCACTGACACGTCATCCCTCTGGGTCATAATACCATACGATGTCGTGCCGTTCTCGGATATACCCGACATGACAATGTAGTCGCCGCGGCGTATGAGAGTGTGGCACATCATCATGAGGTCGATTTCAAGCTGCGATTCCCTGGGCGTCCTCCTGAATTGGTCGAGTCGGTGTCCTAGTTCACCTACGCACGGCGTCCTGCATGCAGATAGTAATGGC